GCCCGCAGTTCCGGCGTCCCTGAACATCTCACAGCTTGTCAACAATATGTGTTCGCACTGCTTGTTCCAAGTTGTGACAAATCTGGAACAAGTTGTCTCGCAAGTCTTGTAACAAGTTGATGAGGCCAACAGACTCGCAACTAAACAAGTTGTTCCAACAAGATTGTGCGCAGAAAGTTGTTATGGAACAACTTGTAGCAAGTCTGTTACCGCCAGGCAGTGCGAACACATTGTGATATCAACTTGAGAAAACCTTGTTACAACTTGTTTACGGATCTGTAACAAGTTGGCCCTTATGTATCCCCAGCAACATCCTCGTTCCCAGGGCTGCTTGCGTTGCGAGGATGCCCCGTCAATTGAAATTCAAATCTGACCCCAGAACGGCTCTTTTCAGTTCATTTACAGTGCCCAAGTTATAATTATAAGGTTCGAAATTTTATACCCCTAACAGATTTTTTTCTTACACAAAAAATAATTAGTTTTGACATTTTTATTCATATATGAGCGCTAGCTTTCCTTATACTACCAGTTTGGCTGTCATTAATTAAATTCGATATATTGATTTTACATCGTCATCGAATTTATCGATATTACGACATCATTTATGTGGATTTTTCTCGAATTGCTCAGATTCAAACATGCTCAGTGTTTAGCCCCTCGTACATGTAGTCTCAGATCACAGTTTATAGAACTAGACTCAGATCGATATAGTTTAATAGTTAGTATTTCTAAATGCCGGCATGCATATGTACGATTGTACAGGTGTACCGTTAGCAAGTCCGCCATGACAACAACGCCTTATTGCTTGTACCTGTTTTACACTTTGTTTACACAACTCAATACTCAAACGATGCTAAGTTGACATAGTTGCCAGCAGCAGACTGTATTACCGTTTATAGTTTTAGTTTATTTAAGAAAGATTTATTTCAGGACTTTAGTGAAAAACGATTGTAGGATCAGGTGAGTACACTTTTTGTTTCGTGATATTCGCTTATACGTGCATGGACGACTTACATTCATGCAGGATTTATACATGCATGTAATGCAGGTAATATATTGCCTACTGCCAGTACCGGACCACTAAAACATTCAATGCTATAAAACAATGATTCAGCAGAAAATAGAGTACATTTCAAAATATATTTAGCAAGCTTTCATTTCCCTGGTCAGCGAAAGTGGAACTCCAAAAGCAAGAACAGCAAAGCGATTCTATCGAGGATTTTATATAGGCTATACGGAAACTTTGGTGAACGCTCGTTGATTGGCTATATATCTAGGCCGTAAAGTGCACGACAAGTTGTATTTGCCGATGTTTGAAACAAAATTATCCAGTTTTCTTTGTCCTGGATAGGAGGACTCTTCTATTAATGCCTTAAGGCTTAAATGTAGAGAGGCGCGTTTCCTTGCCGAACATTCTAGCATTGTTCTGAAGCTTTTAACGACGAAACTTTTCAGACACACTGTGCCATTTTTGTGGTATTTTTGGCTAATAAAACCCGTCAAGGAAATTAAATGAAATTGTTTGTCACGTTGTGGTGAAAACTAACCCAGTAAATATTTGTATCCATGCAATAACTCAATTGGGGTTGTTTATGCACGAAATTACAAAATACCTAGCAATAACTCTTTTCAGCCTGAACTAAGCTCCGAGACTTGGAATAGAGAGCTTGATTGAGATGCTTTTGATTTAAGGTCGACCGGAAGTGAATCGAGCCGTCACAGATAACGACAGCCGTTCTTTTTTGAAAAAAGGAAAGGGTTAATGCCATGATTAACCCAATATGTTCTACTTTTTAATCAAATGTTCCAATGGGCAATGGCAATGTTGTGCCGCACACGCCACTTTTAATTTATTTTTTTTTATTTTGTTACAGCACATCATCATGAATCCTCTTTGGGTGATCATATGGATACTTGTTCTCTGGTTCCTTGCTTGGCCTATAGGATTTTTTGCCGCTGGGTGGTATGTTTGCCTCTCACCATTTGAAGTGTGCATAGAACCGCTTAAAGACGTTAACGAATTCTTAATGCGTGGTGTAAAGTTACCGTTTGAAGTTGCCAAACGTCTCAAGGAAGGCAAAGCAGGATGGTAACGAACTGCAAACCTGACTCTGGAGAATAGTTTATCATGACATGGTCCATTACTGTAATATTTCATGTGTAAATAATTTTATTCATGTTTTCTCATACTATAGCTTTAAATGACTTTGCGGTGGGTTTTAACATTATAAAACTAATGAAAATTAATAGCCGTGATCGCTTCTTCTTATACCGTCACCTTTAATAATACGAACTAGTATAATGACTTGTAATTCTCAACTTATAATTAAAAGGTTAATATATAATACTATATTTGTATCATACCTAGCTAGGTTTGTTGTGGTTTGTAGATCACTGACAAACTTACTGACCGCGAAAGCAAAACGGCTTGGCCCTTGCAGGGTAGGAGTTTGGAAAACCGTTACCTAATTTTTGACACTCGTGCATGCGCTTGTGGATCATGTACAAGTTTGATGATTTGTTCATCTTAGACTTAGTTTAAGCCGCGGTTTTCCATTGAATTGTTCGTGCAAAGCAAAATGCATGTACAAATTTCGGCAATGTAGTAGTTAGCGCAAAAATTTCCGCGAAATAGTAGGACTTTGTGCACATCGATTTATGATGATTATACTTACAACTATACTGTAGTTATAGAAAGTTTCATTTTCACTGCTTATACTATCTATCCCTGTTCTAAAAAGGTTCAGTGATTGGACCATTTGCATTATAGACTAAATTTTGGTCTAGACAAAAATTTCATCACAGCTTGAAAGAGCAACACAAAATTAGTAATATTCCAAAGTTTCGTTGCGAAATGTTGTAAAATGCGGATAATAATATAGCCTTGCGGAATTTGCAATTTTCAGTTATTTTGTATTACAAACGGGAAATTGATGCCCCAAGACCCGATTGGGCGGTCAATTTCCCGTGCGTAATACAAAATGACTGAAAAACGGCAAACTTCGCAAGGCTATATTATCCGCATTTTACAACATTTCGCAACGAAACTTTGGAATATTACTAATTTTGTGATACTCTTTCAAGCTGTGATGAAATTTTTGCCTAGATCAAAATTTAGTCTATAATGCAAATGGTCCATTGACGAGTAAAATTGTCTGGTGTTAGACAGAGTAAAATACTAAAGTAGGGCGTATCAGGGTGCATTGCCACTTCAAGGGTAAATTAATGAATAAGTTCGTCTCACCTTTTCTGCAATAGCTTTATTTGCGTTCATCAAATTTCTGACAATAAAAGATCCCCTTCAAAAGAATCGTTTTCATTTAGTTTATCTATTTTGTGCAAAATTTAATGAGGTAACGGAATCAAATCTGACACACTTCGGTGAAAAACGCATGCGCTAACCATTTTAAGGCCCTGTCACACTATTGCGTATCGTACTAGCGTATGCCAGCGTATGAAAAATATCACTCATACGCCGGTATACGCTGACATACGCTAGGGGTACGTTAGGCATAGGTTGTATACGTTTCAAGCACGGTCATACGGCGAGGCAGAACATTTTTTTAAGCATGTTCAAAAATTTTGCGCGTATCGGACGAATGCCTTGTACGATAAGCATATTCTAGGCACACGCTGGATACGCTAGAGGTACGCCAGATGTACGGTACTCATACGCTGGCATTTCAAAGGATTTTTGTGCGTATGAAAATTATTTCATCAATTTCCATACGCTTCTCATACGTTTCTCTCATACGCAATAGTGTGACAGGGCCTTTACGTCCAACACCTCGTTCAGTTTTTGTACCTGTATTTCAGCTCTTTGTTTTCAGACAGTAACAGACCTTGAAGTATTTCTAGCCACGGTTTCACCTTTATCAAAATTGCAAAACATAGTCAGCAAAAACAGTCGCATGGAGCTAAATTAATTATATCTAAATGTTGTAATAGTACTTATGGTGGTGTACCTCAGCTACTTTATCGCAAACTTTTGGATTTTCCGTAACAACAGCCAAAGCACCAGAACACGCTCTGAAGATGAAAATAATTGTATATCATATTCTCTATATCATGGCCAGAAATTACGGACATGATTTATTCTGCTTTCTTCGTAATTTGCATATGACGTTGAAATGTGGCTTCAACAGTACACAGTGAATTATATACCTTGCTAGCAATTCGTCTTCTTCGCCAGAAAACAACGTAAACAGTTTGACTCTTTCCGTTGTATTTTCTTGAAGAAATAAGTCAGCCACCTAAGAAGATGAGAATCATATAACCAAACATGGCCTTAAACAGGAATGGATTTAAGGGGGGGGGGGTGCACCTCTCATAGCCTTGATGCTTACCTCCTGACAGTAGACGAGGTTGCACATGCACTCGGCAGCGGCACGCCTGATCATCTCATGATCTTCGAACAACAAACTCTCGATATCAGGAACCCCTCTTTCGCGATAAATATGCTTCCTGTGTAATGATAAAATAGAAATTAACTCTTTCCTGTCCGTATCGACCATGACAGGAGTTTGCGGGGTGGTGTGGGAAAGTGGGCACCTCACCTGAGATCGTTTTGCACCTCTCCTTGGGGAAGTTTCAATGATAGATCAAAGTGAAAATTTGACATTTTTTTGTTGCTTAGGGTCTAAACTTCGTAAGAAAGATTTTCTGTAAAATTGAAACAGTGATAGTCATTCATCTCCGTGTCAAGTACCCTGTGACCCGGTCGTGTATTTTAAAAAAGATCCATAGTTGTTTCTATCTAACAATTAAATTGTTTTACAAAGTTTTTGAATGAGTAATCTTTTAAAAGATTATCCCATTGTATAATTTACGCATGATACATAATTTAAATCGCTAACGGAGGTATGCAGTCTCGAAGCGCACCCTAGTTGTTATATTCTAATGCCGCAGACGATTTTACTTGTCAATGTCAGGGCGCTGTAACATACAGCGCCCTGTCAATGTGTAATTCTCGCGCGGGAAAGGGTTTCTCGTTTGATATCGAGCCTTCATGGAATTGTAAACAGTATAGTCACCTGACGTCATTGTTCATTCCAGCCAGGTTAGTAAGAGCCATGAGAGATTCGAATTGTTCCAAACTCTAAATATACAAAAACCAGAATTATCAAAAAAGGCGGCATAGTCACTGGGCATGCGTGTACTCGTCAACTCTGCGACCAAAGTGTCCAATCACTTCGTCTAGGAAATTATCTGATTATATTTTCGCCACGATTCCATCAAACAGCACTAGAAGGAATACCGAATGGTTTTCCGTGCAGGATTGCGTGATCCATACACGAGGGATGTCGCGAGACTTTCGGAAAGCGTAAATCTGCTCGAGCCGCAGGCGAGTGTATTTTTACGCTTTCCGAAAGTCGAGCAACATCCCAAGTGGATGGATCACGCTATCCTTCTCGGAAAACCATTTGGTAATTGTTTTATAAAATAACTACAGTGAAACAATGACATTTTGAGAATCCCGCGAAAATCCCGCGAAGGCATTTTAATTCCTCATGCGGGATAGACTGATCGTGCACGGCTATTGACCAATCAAATTGCGTATAAAAAGCTTTTTTCCCCACACTACTGTTTACTCCAGCAATAAAATTTGCTCGACAAGTAATGATCCTTACTGGACTTCAAGAAGAAACAGTTTTGAGGCAAAAGTGATAAATGTACCCGTTTGATTGTGTATTTCATACCTTCTTGTCAGGATGGAGAAGGGCAATCAGTGGTCGAACCAATTCGAAACTCTACAAAAATAACAAGATGTTATTATATTATGCTGTTATTATATTTGTTTGTAACAGGCTTGTAGCAAGCTTGTCAACAAGTTGTAACAATGCTGTTATTATATTTGTTCGTAACAGGCTTGTAGGAAGCTTGTCAACAAGGTGTAACAATGCTGTTATTATATCTGTTCGCAACAGGCTTGTAGCAAGCTTGTCAACAAGTTGTAACAATGCTGTTATTATATTTCTTCACAACAGACTTGTAGCAAGCTTGTCAACAAGTTGTAACAATGCTGTTATTATATTTGTTCGCAACAGGCTTGTAGCAAGCTTGTCAACAAGTTGTAACAATGCTGTTATTATATTTCTTCACAACAGACTTGTAGCAAGCTTGTCAACAAGTTGTAACAATGCTGTTATTATATTTGTTCAAAACAGACTTCTAGCAAGCTTGTAAACAAGTTGTAACAATGCTGTTATTAAATTTGTTCACAACAGACTTCTAGCAAGCTTGTCAACAAGTTGTAACAATGCTGTTATTATATTTGTTCGCAACAGGCTTGTAGCAAGCTTGTCAACAAGTTGTAACAATGCTATTATTATATTTGTTCACAACAGGCTTGAAGCAAAGTTGTCAACAAGTTGTAACAATGCTGTTATTATATTTGTTCACAACAGGCTTGTAGCAAGCTTGTCAACAAGTTGTAACAATGCTGTTATTATATTTGTTCGCAACAGG